TGGTTTTTGTCTCGCGGTTGAAGACAAAAAATCACGGAATAACAAAATTCAAAGAACAACGATCGCAGACAGTTGTAGAGCATAGAAATTCACACCATATTTGTGGGGATCCAGTGCAGGCCACACAAAAAAGATCTGCGGTCGTTACGTGGGTCCTGTTCAAAAGTTTCCATATAATATTTTATTAATTTCATATACCCAACGTAGAATGTTTTTCTCAGCGTGTCCAAAACTCTAGCTAGGAGATTCGCATCTATGTGCCTCCATCCTGCCACAAAAAGACAGGCAGGCATGCAGCCATATTATGGCCAGTTGAGATTTTATCTTTTGGCAAATGTGTTGTTGTTATTTGCACCATTGGAGTTTTCTTTATGTGGCGTCAAATTATTTGCCACTTGAGTCAACCGAACACGACGACTAACTTAACAGTAAAATTTTATTTATTTCAATTCAATTTAGTTTGTTTTCTATTTAAATATAGAAAACATTGGAAATTGTTGAAACATTTTTCGCTAGAACTTACCAATTCCTTAAACATAATAAGGGCTCATAAAATATGACAAGTCACTTACCTAAAAATAAAAAATAAATACATTTAAAATATTAGAAAACAATAAATATATTTTGTTCCTAAATATATCAAGCAACGACTACAAATTTTTTACTTTCAATGTACCAACAAGGCGTGGATTTTTTAAAAAAACATATTTTTTTCGAAACCCGAACAAGGCGTGGATTTAAAAAAAAAATATATTTTTTCGAAACCCGAACAAAGCGCGGATTTAAAAAAAAAAAAACATTTTTCAATATTCCAGCAAGGCATGGATTAAAAAAAATATTTTTCAATATTCCAGCAAGGCATGGATTAAACAAAATATTTTTCAATATTCCAGCATTACATGGATTAAAAAAATATATTCCAGCATGGCATGGATTTTAAAACATCTTCTTCGCCCAGACGAAACGGCTGAAGCTAGAAGTTTGAAATTTTGAAGGTGGGCTGTTGTTGGTGTGTAGGGTTGGTGTAGGCTGGGTTTTTGGAAATTTGTGCTAAAAGGGTACGAAAAATACTAAAATGTACCAAATGTGATACCCTTTGTATTAGGCGAACGGGAATAGCTAGAATTCTGAAATTTGGCATGTGGGTCACTGATGAAATGTTAGAAAGATGTACAAAATGGTTTTTGAAAATTCGACCTAAAAGTGTACAAAAAGTACTAAAGTTTACTAAATTTAGTTCTAATTGTATATATATTGAACATATATAGCTATAATCTTGTAATTTTATATGGAATAAAGGTTGGGAAGTGGTGTTGATGTATGGAAATGGTTTATGTAATAGATCAGTAGATAGTTATATAAAAAGTACAAAATGTTACTATATTTAGTACTATTTGCGTTTAAATGAGTGTATAATATACTCTATTTCTAACCATGTGTAAAATAGAGGGTTTTAGTTGAATAGAGTTGGGTAGTTCCGGAACGAACTAGTTCATTGGAACTATTCCGAGAAAGGAACGATCGGAACTAGTTCCAGCTCTTTAATTAATATAGTACCTTTTTCTGATCTCGTCCCTTTTTGATCACGTTCTTTTTTCTGAACTATGTGAGCGAAAAAAAGAACGACGAAAGAGAGAGAGATGCTAAGGAACTATGTAGGATTCGGAACTATATGGAGCAAAGGAAGTATGAAGAGCAAAGGAACTGAATGGAGCAAAGGAACTATATGGAGCAAAGTAACTATATAGAAAAAACAAAAAATGAAAAAAAAAAATCAAAAAGAACGATGAAAGAGAGAGATGCAAAGGAGCTATGTAGGAGTCGGAACTATAAAGAGCAAAGGAACAGTTTGGAGTAAAGAAACTATAAGGACCAAAGGAAATATAGGGAGCAAAGGAACTGTATGGAGTAAAGGAACTATATGGAGCAAAGGAACTACATTAAGGAAACTAGTTCCATTTTAAAAAAGGAACGAGAAAGATCGATCCGCTAAGTGAACTAGATTGCCAAACTCTATAGTTGAGTTGAGTGTCAGATTGTGAAATTGTCGTGACTGATATAGTGGAGTAGAATAAAAAATACAATGCATAAAAACCGTTCGGATGCTTTATCATTGTCCTATTGGTCAAAAAGAATCCTTCCAGAACCTCTACTAGTTTTTTATAAAGTAACCCTACTGACTTCTAAGGATATTTTTTAGTGGTGTTATATAAATAAGTCCTCTTGGTCTTTCATATGGTTTTTTATAAGGAAGACATTCCAGACTTATATTACGAAGCTTCTGGTGTAACATGAGAAGATTTACTCGTCAAAAATGTAGACTACCTGTTGATTTTATATAGAGTAGATCTACCGTTAGTCTATTTAGAAGATATCCTACCATAATTTAAAGAGAAGCTCGTGGACAAAATATACCACAGATGGTCTCATACCAAAGCTCCTATAAAGAGCCTCTTCTAACAACATATAAACAACTAGTGAGCGGAGAAGAATAATCGGACGGTGCCGACCATATGATACCCTACACAACTTCCATGAAAATCTAACTTTCTGTGGCACTACATTTTGAGCTATGGTAAAATTTCGCGATATTTGCACCCTCTTGGCCGACTGGAGGTCAACAAATATTACTAGTATTCAGTACAGCTCTTCTAATTACTTCTCCAGATTCGATTCAACGTGGGTTGTGTTGTGATGTTCAGCTTTAAATTGTGGCCTATAGATCGACTCGAAAAATCACAAAAAAAAAAATGAGTTTTCGGTCCACTTCATCCCAAAATTATTATCTTATCATCACCGAAAATTATAGGCGTTGTCCTTGACCATACCTGAATCCTCAGGGAAAATTTCTAAGCGATCATAGCTATGTTTCCGCCCTCTAGTGTGGTAATGGGTTACTAACTAATATATGAATACGTAAGCACCTGTAAATATTTATGTGTAACTCCCACATCCGAGTACACACGGCAATATAATTGATACCAATGATTGGATATAATATCAACTTCTCGGGTCTATGTCCTTCAGGAATAAATATATACGCTATAGAATAAAAATTTTGTAATTTTTCACACAAAAATCAGGGTCCATTTGTCCTTTGGGCCATAATTGCGGCCTCTGGAGCGACCAGAAAATCAGACAAAAATAAAGTTTTTGGTCCATTTCATCCCCTAAATATTAACCGATTTTTACCAAAAACAATAGGGGTTTTCATTGGCCAGAACCCAACCTACATGCAAAATTTCGTGAAGATTGGTCCCTAACTGTGGTTTGTATCTTGTTTAAAAATTATAATGGACAGACGGACGGACGGACACAAATGTCTAGATCGACTCAGTTAGTGGAAATATGACGATCGGTATACTTAAAGGTGGGTCTAGGACCAATATTTTGCGGCGTTACAAACTTTTGGAGCAGTACAAAGCTATAATACCTTAACAACATATTTGTTTAGGGTTTAAAAATGTTACAATCGTACTATAACCTATTGCGTTTCTATAAAGACACAGTACTGGCCTTCTACAGAGAAGCCCTACTGGCCTCCTATAAAGAAGTCCTACAGACCTTATATAAAACTAGAAAGAGACATTCAGCTCTTCTACAGATATTATCTCGGAAATCGGAATTAGGATTACTATTGTAGTACAGGATTTAGGTAGTTTAAAAAAATCGTACTTATGTGTACGAAAAGTACTAAATGGTACAAAATTTAGTGCAAGTTGGATTTAGGTGAACAGATAGAGCTGATGTATTTAAATTGAGAATTAAAATGACTGTTGGGGTGTAGGATTGAGGTAGTTTATGAAATTCGTACTTATTGATACGAAAAGTACTAAATGGTACTTAATTTAGTACAATTTGGATTTTGCGATAACGGATAAAGCTGAAAATCTGAAATTTGGTATTAAGATTCCTGTTGCAGATTGAGGCATAGGGACATTTTTGGAAATTCGTATTTATGTGTACGAAAAGTACTAAACGGTACTAGATTCGGCTGGAAATCTAAAATTTGGAATAATGGTTGCTGTTGGAATATAGAATAGAGATATAGAAGCATAGTACTTATGTCTACTAAATCGTACTATATTTGGTACAACTTTGGAGTGTAGGATTGAGACATGGGGGTAGTTTAGGAATTAAGGTAGTAGTTTAGGAAATTCGTATTTTGTAATTTAGACTTTGGTTAACGGGTAGAACTCGAATCCTGAAAGTTGCAACTTAGGTTACTGTGGGAGTGTATGATTGATATAGGTTTAGAATATGAATACAGCATGGTACGAAATCTGGTACATTTTGGTGAATAGACAGAACTGGAATTCTTAAATTTGGACTTACAATTGGTATTTGAAATCAGGATTAGAATATTAAGATAGGTTTGGAATGTGGGTACGAAAAGTTCAGAATGGTACCAAATCTGGTACAATTTCGTTTTTAATGGACAGGCAGAGCTGGAATTCTTAAATTTGGACTTAGGATCACTATTTGAAAACAGGATTGAGGTACATTTGGAAATTCGTAGTTATGAGTACAAAAAGTACTAAATTTGGTACAATTTGGACATTGGTGGAATTAAGACTGTTATTAAAATGTAGGATTGATGAAGTTTTAGAAATGTTTACTTATAAGCATGAAAAGTTCCAAATTTGAAACAATTTGGATTTGGTTAATTCCTGAGATTTCGCACTTTAGAAAATCGAATTTTTATGTAATAAATTTACAGTAAATTAAATAGAAAATGCACTAAAAAATTATTGTGGTATATTAATTAACCAATTTTTATTAATAGTGTCAGACTGACTATTTTGCAAAAACAAAAACTTTTTTGAATTCCCTTTCCGCATACGACGTAGCGGGCATATATATATTCCAATTAATCGAATTAAAAAATGTCGAAATGAATTACAAGTTTTTTCAATTTAGTTTTTGTGGTTATTTATTAGAAATATATTTCAAGTGTTGATAATTGTATCTTCAAATCCTTAATACTCAGCCTAATAACCTTAGTTTGCTTTGGGTAACAATGAAAATTCCGCCACATCTTCCTCCGACAGGGCACCACAAGTAAATGCCTGCCTAAACACTGTCGAATGACGCACCGGAGTGTTGACACGAGCACAGGCATCATAGCTATGAAAATCTGCCATTGGATGGAAACCACAAAATGATGAACAAAATATCTGGGCATAATTAAGGAAGAACACCTTTTCCATGGAAATGGCTTTGTTGCTTAGCGTAACCATTTGGGGCAATTGCATGGCATGATGTTTGGCAAAGGTGGAATAGGCCAAATTTAAGCCAGCCAAATCATCAATTACAGGATCTTTGGAAAAATCATCACCGTCGTCGTCATCGTCATCATTTTCGTCTTCATTATTTGTGGAAGTTGTTCGGAGGCCAGGTATGCTGGTTTGGACCACGCCATTAGCATCAATTGTCAGGTGTTGGGAATCAAATGCTTTGGTAATTTCATGAGCCAGCAGATAGCCGAGGGTACTATAACTGAAGAGGTCACCCATATGGCTGTCATAGAATGGTTCTTGTAGCAGGGTTAGCGGTAAGTAAATAATATTCAATCTTGGATAGAGTAGGGGCAGAGGGTAGGGATAACCATTTTTATTGGTGTTTGAGGTGGGTCTAAAATCCAAATACTCTGGAGATTTGCGAGCGTAAACATTCTGCAATGTTGAGTGTTGGGTGCGGAATTTAAAACGGTTCAAACGCAGACGGTTACCATAATATTCCGAGCTGACGAAGTTTAAATGCTCATAATAATATTCCAATTCCTGGGCGGATTTATCGAAAATCAATAAATCCAAGGTGTTTAATTTCCTCAAAATATATTCCACAAGCGAGGTTGCCAAAGCCTTTGATTGTAAATTTTTCTTGAAATTTTCTTTCAAATTGATGAAGAGATTTCGAATTTTTCCCACCTCTTTTTCAAGATCTTCATGTATTTGGCCATGAATCCATTGTAGCACCAAGGGAAACTCTTTCCGAATATTTTTCACCACATCCATTTTATAGTGAATTCGATCATCCTTCATTAGGGATATTAAAAATTTCACTTGAATATAATTGCAAAGCATTTCATTGTCGTAACGACTCAAGACGTTATAAATCCGTTTTAAATATTTCAAACTTTGCACCTGAATCTGCATATTGGGATCCAGGGAATTCTGTTTTAGTAGGATTTGCAAATATTGATTTAGCCATGGCATATGCAGATCTTTAAGGGTCATCAATTTACCCTCATCGTGGTGATGGTTAGACTCTTCCATATTTAAATAACGATAATTGAAATTGTCGCTTTCCTCTGTCTGTATTAATTCCAAGGTAAATTTCGATAATTCCGCTTGAAATGTAGCCAATTGATCCACTAGACTTTCCTCCACCAAATCTCCCAAAATATAAACTTGCTGTTCGAAATCATATAAATACGAAAGATCTGGGATACGTAGCTCTATAATGCCTTTATAAGGGTCTTCCTTACTTTTGCGGATATTCTCATGGAAAAACAAATCATTGAAACCAAATTGTCGCAATTTAGCCAATAATTCCAACCATTCTATATTCCTTTTAGGTCCTTCTACCCTTGCCACACTCGAAGTTTTATTTTCCAAAAACGGCCATTGCATATTTTCATAGACCCACAACCATTTCGCATATTCCAAAGGTTGAGGATTTTCCACCTCCGCATAGGCCACATAGTATTGATATAACTCCCGTAGAAACTTGGGTTCACCTGCTTTGTATAACAGCTCAAGTACCAGCATAGTTTCCGTTTGTATCCTTTCCTCCAGAATTTTTATCATTTCCGGACCCTGCCAATTGTCACAGGCATAACTGTAAAAATCACCACAGGCTTTGAGTTTGGGATTCATACTCTCGGAAATTTGTTGTAGACGTCGTTCATCAAATGTGACGGCCGCCACTGGTTCGGCTGCAGCGAAAAATTGCCTTGAAACTGACCATAACAGCAAAAGTCTCCAGACCCAGGGTATGACCACGATACCTTGGCCGCCAACAATTTGTGTCATTGTGAGATTGCCGTTCGTTTGTCGTCCGTCTGCCGTTGTTTTCGAGATAATGACGTCTTAGCTACTGATCTAATTTCTAGCGAATTCATTTGTCTCATGATGTTGATTTGAATTATTTTTTTTTTGTATTGATTTCAATTGTCTTATCTCCCTCTCACGCTGATCTGTGTTCGGATGTAGTATGGAGGAACACTAGACAACAAAGTTTTTTTGTTATACCCTTCTCCATACTGCGGTATAGGTTATTATGTGTTTGTGTATATGTTTGTAACAGGCAAAAGGAAACGAGATAGACACATGGTGTTTTTTGAGAATATACATAGAATCTCTTTTTAAGTCGATTTATGCATGTCCGTCCGTCCGTCTATCTGTTCATGTTAAATTGTAAACAAAGTACAGGTCGCATTTTTTATTCGAATTGGATGAAATTTGGCACAGCTCATTTATTTGGCCCAAGGACGAACCCTATTGAAATTGGGAAAAATCGGTTCAGATTAAGATATAGCTCCCATATATATTTTCGTCCGATTTTTGGTAAATAGTGCAACAAAGTCCGTATATACCCTTCGATTTGCGCGAAATTTGGCATAGCGTTCTAAATTGAGTCTAGAATGATGAGTGGTGAGTTTCGTGAAAATCGGTTCAGATTTAGATTTAGCACCCATATATATGTTCGTCTGATTTTATGTAAAAGGTGCACCAAAGTCCCTATATATTCTTGGATTTGCACGAAATTTGGTATAGCATACTAAATTGAGTCTAGAATGATGAGTGGTGAGTTTCGGGAAAATTGGTTCAGATTTAGATATAGCTCACATATATATTTTCATCCGATTTTTGGTAAATAGTGCACCAAAGTCCCTATATATCCCTGGATTTCCACGAAATTTTGCATAGCATACTGAATTGAGTATAGAATGATGAGTGGTGAATTTCAGGAAAATCGGTTCAGATTTAGATATAGCTCCCATATATATTTTCGTCCGATTTTATGTAAATGGTGCACCAAAGTCCCTATATATTCTTGGATTTGCACGAAATTTGGCATAGCGTACTAAATTGCGTCTAGAATGATGTGTGGTGAGTTTCGGAAACATCGGTTCAGATTTAGATTTAACTCCCATATATATTTTCATCCGATTTTTTGTAAATAGTGCACCAAAGATGTGCGTGAAGATAAAATCGATTTTAACTAGCAAAGACTCAATCCACCAAATTTAGCAAAGACACGTATAACAGATTTCAGTTCAGTATAACAGATGTTAAAATCGTTTTTATAACAATTCAATGACCAATTGAGCAATAAATATAAATAAAACAGGCAAAATATTGGTACTCCCGGAAAGGCAATTCCAAAAGCTATTTAAAACCGCTTTAACTGAAAAAATGAATCATGGTTTTATTGAATAAAAATAGATATTACTAAAATTTGAAAAGTTATCATCGATGCCCATTGTGCGAAATCTAAAAATGTTACCGCTATATGGAACCCGGCATTTGAAAGCCCACTAGGTGTACCTTCAGAAAATGCATAATTCATAAAAATCCATTTTGGAAATTTTTTTAAATTAATTTTTTTTTAAAAAATTGAATAATTTTAAGGGATCAAAATTCAATGACCCACTGTGCGAAAACTAAAAATGTTACCGCTATATGGAACCCGGCATTGGAAAGCCCACTAGGTGTACTTTCAGAAAATGCATATTTTATAAAAATCCATTTTGGATTTTTTTAAAAAAAATTCATATTAGTAAAATTTTAAAAGTTATCATCGATGCCCATTGTGCGAAATCTAAAAATGTTACCGCTATATGGAACCCGGCATTTGAAAGCCCACTAGGTGTACTTTCAGAAAATGCATAATTCATAAAAATCCATTTTGGAAATTTTTTTAAATTATTTTTTTTTTAAAAATTGAATAATTTTAAGGGATCAAAATTCAATGACCCACTGTGCGAAAACTAAAAAGGTTACCGCTATATGGAACCCGGTATTTTAAAGCCCACGAGGTGTACTTTCAGAAAATGCATAATTCATAAAAATCCATTTTGGAAATTTTTTTAAATTAATTTTTTTTAAAAAATTGAATAATTTTAAGGGATCAAAATTCAATGACCCACTGTGCGAAAACTAAAAATGTTACCGCTATATGGAACCCGGTATTTGAAAGTCCACGAGGTGTACTTTCAGAAAATGCATATTTTATAAAAATCCATTTTGGATTTTTTTAAAAAAATTCATATTAGTAAAATTTGAAAAGTTATCATCGATGCCCATTGTGCGAAATCTAAAAATGTTACCGCTATATGGAACCCGGCATTTGAAAGCCCACTAGGTGTACTTTCAGAAAATGCATAATTCATAAAAATCCATTTTGGAAATTTTTTTTAATTAATTTTTTTTTAAAAAATTGAATAATTTTAATAGCTCCCATATATATTTTCGTCCGATTTTATGTAAATGGTGCACCAAAGTCCCTATATATTCTTGGATTTACACGAAATTTGGCATAGCGTACTAAATTGCGTCTAGAATGATGTGTGGTGAGTTTCGGGAAAATCGGTTCAGATTTAGATATAGCTCCCATATATATGTTCGTCTGATTTTTGGTAAATAGTGCAACAAAGTCAGTATATACACTTCGATTTCCACGAAATTTTGCATAGCATACTAAATTGAGTATAGAATGATGAGTGGTGAATTTCAGAAAAATCGGTCCAGATTTAGATATAGCTCCCTTATATATATTCGTCCGATTTTTGGTAAATAGTGCATCAAAGTCCCTATATATCCTTTGACTTGCACGAAATTTGGCATAGCGTACTAAATTGAGTCTAGAATGATGAATGGTGAGTTTCGGGAAAGTCGGTTCAGATTTAGATATAGCTCCCATATATATTTTCATCCGATTTTTGATACATAGTGTACCAAATTTGGATTTGCACGAAATTTGGCATAGCGTACTGAATTAAGTATAGAATGATGAGTGGTGAGTTTCGGGAAAATCTGTTCAGATTTAGATATATATATATATATATATATATATATATATATATTCGTCCGATCTTATAAAAATGGTGCACCAAATTCCTAATGTTTTTCCGATTAACACGAAATTTTGCACATCGTATTTATTTGAGACTTGAATGAAGTTATTGCGTTTTGTTCAAATTGGTACAGATGCAGCCATAGCTTCCATATGTATTTCGAACGGGTGTCTGATTGAAATTATTTTTTTTATTTTACCGAATAGCGTGTATCAATTTTGCTATAAATCGTTTTCCATAAATGTGTCCCATGGAAGAATTTTTTTAAATATATGAAACATTTTTAAATTCAATATCGCACAAAAATAAATGATTTATTAACCTCTTTGTTTATTTGTTGAACTGCAAACTTCGTTGAGTTGTAAAAGGCTTGGGTGTGTGTGTGTAATAAATCTCAATAAAGTGAACCGGCGAGTATATCCATTTAACACAGATGAGCCTATAAATAATTCTGCCAATGGCATAAACATTCCAATCGAGTTCATCCTTAATGAATGGCTGAGGATGGGATGATGAACAACAACCACAACGATTACATGTGTGGAGCATTATTATTGTTATTATTGATGCTGTTGTTATTATTGTTGCCAGCTGATAGGATGATGATACAAATCGCCCGCATAGTAATAGTAATAACTCCCTAACAATTGATCACCGCTCCCTCCTTGCAACATTAAGCGGTGTTATCTCGCACAAAAATCTTGGAATATTTCTTTTTGATCATCTCATAAATATTTTTAGGAAAATGAAAAAGAACACATAAATCGATATTAAACAGATGCTTCTGCAGGAGACAGTGGTGGGTATGGGAGTGAGTGTGTGTGTGCGTGCGTGTGTATGTATTTAATAAATTCCAAAGTAATAATCATAAAAAAAATTTGTTATTATATTCTAGCAATAATAATAAATGGGTAATGCATTCTGCTCTCACCATGCAGCAGCAAGAAGTAATACACGATCCTTGGAATGATTTTCTTGAAAGATGAAACCAAGTTATGGCTCAGTGGGAATTATTTTTATTTGTTATTGTATTTTTTGTTTTATTAAAATGTTCTACCACCAGGGAGTTCGGCTTTTAATATTTATCGCTTTTTAATTACACGCTGATGGATGGGTGCATAATCATATTAAGGGATATTTTTGTATTTATCGACAATGAGGTAGGTGGGTGCCTGTTAAGAGATTCTGTTTCAAAGATGATTAGTGGAGATAAATTAAGGATAATATGTGATAAGGAAACTGATAAAAATAATATAAAATATTAGTGTAACTTCAAACCAGTAAGGAAAGTAGTAAAATCGGACTGGGCCGACTATATGATACCCTTCACCATTTTGGGCATATTCTTCATATATATCCTTTCAATTGTATGTCAATGTTCCCTCGAAGGAACATATTCATATCTTTTTGCAACCTATGCTAAATTTAATTTCATTCTGGCAGATTTAGAGTCGTCTGCATACCATAGGACAAATTTCTGGAAAACGATTTATAGCAAAACTGATAAACGCTTTTCGTTACGCCGCACTGTAAAAAAATTTAATTTTAATCAGACACCCGTTCGAAATACATATGGAAGCTATGGCTGCACCTGCACCAATTTCAACAAAACCCAGTAACGTCATTCAAGTCTCAATTTGATACGTTGTGCAAAATTTCGTGTTAATCGTACCATTTACGTAAAATCGGACGAAAATATATATGGGAGCTATATCTAAATCTGAACGGATTTTCATGAAACTTAGCACACATCATTCTAGGCTCAATTCAGTACGATATGCCAAATTTCGTGGAAATCGAAGAATATATAGGGTCATTGGTGCACGATTTATATTAAATCGGACGAAAATATATATGGGAGCTATAACTAAATCTGAACCGATTTTCACGAAATTTAGCACACATCATTCTAGGCTTAATTTAGTACGCTGTGCAAGTCTCAAAACATATAGG